CACTCAAGTCGGCGCCGACCACCCCTTAGTGACGCACTTTACTGAAGGTCCAAACTTCCAAAACTGCCGCAACTCTGCTTGCCACTCCGTAAACCGGAAACTCCACCAACTTCCAATGCTGGCTGGCCTCTACACAATCCAAACTACTGCGGTAACTCGCCGAAGCGAACTCAAAAACTGCCCTGACTGGCAACAAAACTGACGATAAAAACTTCACAACTCCAAAACAAACTTCAAACTTCTGCAGACGTGGATCTGCTCTCAACTTGGCAAAAGGCGATTTAAATTTCAACCAAACGTAGTTCTGCGTTGAACAGTGGCAAAAAGCCCTTCCTCTTCTCAGTCCGTTCTATTTAAGGTGGAAACCCTTCCAAATTACAAATTAAAACAGCCAATGATAAGCAGTTGACAACAGAAAATTTCCCCCCTAACGCACGTTAAACCAGAGGTAGAAATGATTTTTACAATCAATTTTTAACCGACATTAAGAGATAACACAAAAATTAAAATACTAGGAAAAATAGAATTTTCTGTCTTTTAAATACAAAGACAAGGCGATAAATAACATCCACCTGTCAATTAAATTAAGCGTTTACAATGATAACAGAATAAAAGTGAAATAAAATTCTCAGAAATGTAAGTTAAATAAAATTAAAGATTTAGACCTGGTCAGCCATATAGGTTACGCGGGTACAAAATCGTAAGGAAAGATATGATTCCTAATCTCAGATCAAAGAGTGGAGTTGCGATCATAGTAAAAGATGACGTACAGTTCAAACCACTACCATTGCAAACAAATTTACAAGCTGTAGCAATTGAAATAATGGCTCCCCTAAAAATCGTTATGTGTAACATATACTTATTATATTATTATATATACTTATTATTACCTGATAGAAATTGGCAGCAGCATGAACTGCAGAATCTTATAGATCAAATGCCAGTCTCGTATCTGCTAATGGGTGATTTTAATTCCCATAATTCCCTATGGGACTCATCTCATACAGATGCTAGAGGACGAGACCTGAAGCAATAATAGATAATAATCAACTGGCAGTATTAAACAACGGTAGTCATACTCACCTGTGCGCGATCCGGAACTTTTTCGGTGATCGATCTTACCATAGCTTCTCCACGCGTTGCAACACTATTCTCCTGGAGGATATTAGATGATCTTCATCACAGCGACCATTTTCCAATTGATATCGAAACGCACACACGAGAGGCACCTGCAACACGTCCGATACGGTGGAAGATTTCGGAAGCTCGTTGGGATCTATACAGATATCAATTGGAGCTAGGTGTATCACAAAATACACTTCCACGTGGCTTAAAAGAAATTACATCTGCCATCTATAATGCGGCTAATCTTGCCATACCAAAAACAAGCGGGACCCCCGTCAAACATCGAGTACCCTAGTGGAATCGGGATGTCAGCGAGGCAGTCAAAGCCAAAAAGAAAGCATTTAATAAATACATTTCATAGATATCCCACAAATGAACACCTTATAGTTTTTAAAAAGGCAAGAGCAAATGCCCGTAGAACGATTCTTCAAAGTAAAAGAGCAACTTGGAATAACTATACGTCAACAATTACCCACCAAACTCCTACTAAACAAGTATGGCAAAAGATTAAAGCAGTATCGGGAAAGAATGCTATTACAATACAACTGCAAATTAATAATAACCAAGTGACAAGTCAACCAGAGCAAACTGCTGAGCTTCTAGCAGACCAATTTCAAAAAGCTAGCAGTACGGAAAATTATGAGCCACGATTCTTAGCACATAAAGCTAGGAACGAAGTAGACCTCAACTTCACACACTTGGAAGACTTCGACTATAATCACTCTTTTACAATGATTGAGCTCGAAACGGCACTCACGTGCAATAAATCTTCCTCTCCTGGGCCAGATCTTATAACTTACGAGATGTTAAGGAACCTCTATACGGTATATAAGACCCTACTCCACCGAGGCGTATATCTAACCTGCTGGAAGGAAGCGATCGTGATCCCTATTTTAAAAAGTGCAAAAAATCCGTACCTGGCCTCAAGTTACCGACCGATCAGCTTAACTTCATGCATAGCTAAAGTGTTTGAGCGCATGGTAAGCTATCGATTAATGTGGCTGCTTGAAAAAGAGGAACGCTTTACAAGCTGCCAGGCAGGATACAGAAGACACAGATCAACCGCTGATCATCTAGTACACCTACAAAATAAGATACTTGAAACCTTCTCCCATAGACATCACGCAGTTGCAGTCTTCTTTGATGTTGAAAAGGCATTTGACATGACGTGGAGACACGGAGGGTTGCAGACGTTGGGGTTTGAAAGGAAACCTACCGAAACTTATCTCCTCCTTTCTACAAGATCGACAATTTCGTGTTAGAGTAGGTAATACGCTTTCTACGTCCAGAACGTTAGAAAATGGAATACCGCAAGGTTCTACCTTAAGTGTGGTATTATTTGCTATCGCAATCAACTCCATTACTGCCTCCATTTCTGACGATGTAAGCACATATCTATACGTCGATGACCTAACGCTTGTGTATTCAGGACCGAGTATGGGGGAAATTAATAGAAAAATGCAACAGGCGATTGACAGTATCGTATTAAACTCACATAAATGTGGCTTTAAATTATCAGTCGATAAATCTTACTGTATGCACTTTTGTCGATTAAGAAAACCACATGACGGCCCAATGCTCCTCTTACAGGACAGGTATATTGAGTGCAAACCAACTGGTACATTTCTTGGTGTGCTGCTGGACTCTGCACTAACCTGGAAGATGCATATCGATAATTTAATTACCTACACGTTGTAAGACAGCCCTCAGTATTTTCAGAGTGTTAGCCAACTCCAAATGGGGTGCTGAAACAGAAATTTTGTTACGAATGTACAAAGCACTCATAAGATCAAAGATAGATTATGGTTGTGAAGCATACTCTTCTGCTTCAAAAAGTACTCTAGCGCGGTTGGACTCAATACAGAACAGTGCTATTCGGTATTGTCTAGGTGCATTTTATACCAGTCCTAGTGTTAGCTTAGCCTGCGAATCTGGAATTCTACCTCTAAGCCTGCACCGACAATACAGAATTTTAAGTTATGCATGTAGAATAAAAGCACAACCAAATCATATTATGAACTATGATATCATGTTCAGTAACGTAAGACCACTAAATGACTGGAGAAGATTACATAAACCCATTTGGTGAAATATTCAACACATCCTTGAATTAATAAATGCTTCCTTACCACGCATGTTACCATCAAAGCCACTTGAGGTTTCTCCCTGGAAAGTGCCTGATATTAACGTCAGAATAGATTTAACAGTCTATGGCAAGGAAGAAACTCATCCATCTCTTTATCTTCGAGAATTTAACAAAATTGTCAACTCTTATCAAGATTATATGTTTCTCTAGACCGATGGCTCAAAAAAGAATATGGGTACTGGATCTGCCTTTTCTACTGATGACGCTGAGTATGAATGGTCAATGGGAATCCACGCATCTATATACACAGCTGAACTGTATGCAATTTGGCAAGCTCTCCGATATTGCGAATTGCATACAGATAAAAATAAATTTGTTGTTATAAGCGATTCACTGAGTTCTTTAGTCAGTTTGAAAAATCCATATTCAAAACATCCATTAGTGCAGATGATACTATCAACACTGAAACATCTTGCAAACCTTGATATTCTTGTTACATTCCCATGGGTCCCTAGTCATGTAGGTATAAGCGGCAATGAAAAAGCTGATCGTGCTGCTATAGAAGCGGGAAATGAGACAACAGATAAGGTTTGGATCTCTAGTTCTAGCGACATTAACAAATATCTGAAAAAGAAAATAAATGTATCATGGCAACAGTACAATACTCACCTAAATAGAGTTCAAATGACAATTAATGGGTGGAGAGCAACACTATCACTTCCTAGAAAAGACATGACCGTTCTACATCGGTTAAGAATAGGACATACAGCAATAACACACAAGCATTTATTAACAAAACAAAAAATAATGTAAAGAAATACAAACCTTGACATCTTTCTCGTAACAATAATTTCTGTTGAAGTACTTAACCAACGACACAAAACAAAAATTTAAATTAAGAAAATTAATTACATGGAAAATAGGAAACCGCCCTTGTCCATCCTAGTTAAGAATCCCAAAATTTCGTCCTGCCAGACGAAATATCACAGCAATATTTAAACAACATACAATGTTAAATAAATATTTAATTTAATTTTATCCCTCTCTTGTTTTTGGGCCCTCAACAGGCATGCGCCCAATTACAGAGTGACCCGCATAATGCTATTTAGAGGTGCCTCTGCAGAAGGTCTTAAGTTGGTCTATACTACTCCGGTATTTACCTTACGAATTAGAAAAACTGCAGGAAAACCTAATTCGGAGTAGCCGGTAGAATGCTCGGAACTGGTCTAAGGTAATTTCCATCTCCGCCACAGATGAAAAATTCACCTCAACCCAGGTTCGAAGACCCGACCTCCGGATTTATAACCCAATGCTCTACCAATATGTAGTAAACATGTATTCAATATTTGGTGCTACTATAGGGTCAGTCATATTGGTTAAAATTCTGCTCTTCTTGGAGGATTTATCGATCAGATAAGTCTTGCGTATGTCGCCAAAGGAAATTCTCTTTGTTTCCATCAAAATATCTCCAGTAAGCAAATTGTTTCTAATGCTCTTAAAAAGGTGGGGTGTATCAAAGATGACAATCACTTCAAAATCGTCCACAATAAATGCAGGGGTTTGAACAGTCACGCCTAACATTTTATAAGCACTCTGGTTGCTTATTGTGCCTTGATCGCAAATTAAGACCTTTGGTAACAAACCCACGGTTATTAATTTTTTAATTGCAATTTGAGTTAATTTTACTAAATCAGAGCATTTAAACCCCAGTTTGTGACAAAAAGTATCCATTGGACATCTTCCATGGGGAATACATCCCACGGATCATAAACATCATGGCGTAGTTGGTTTGTACTGGTTTTCTTCCTAAAGGCCTAAATCCCCAAAACCTTCTATCAAATCAAGATCCTTGGAGTATTCTAAGTTGCTGTGGATACTCATTTCGTCGAACAAAAGAGCGGGGTTAACTGGACAGTTTTTTGGAAAATTATTGACATTTTTGGTTTATTTAATTTTTTAGTCAAATAGATGGTATTTTCACAGTAGCTAGAACTGTTAGCAACGTTGTTTTACTATTTTGCATAGAAAAAAATTCTATACATTTTATATAAATAATTTTGGAGGACCGCTAGAAATGGTTCATTTAACCTACCATCCAGGTTAAGTAAACATCTATAGTGGGTTATGTGAACATGACGTTTAATTAATGCAGTTGTTACATGTTTACATATGTATTTTAATAATTTTTAGGAAGTAGTGAAATCATAGTCATGGAAATCAATATAAAATGTCAACATATTAGCATATCTTGCGCTCAAATTTTCACTTGGAGGAGAAAATTTTGAAATAACGTCTTTCTGTAATACATAGGCAAATTCTTCAATGATTATAAATTTATTTGTGCAATTGTAACGCTTAAGAAACTGCACATCAAAACCTTTGCTATTTTTTGCTATAATTTTAGCCACATAATGTATGAATTGTGAGGCAGTTTTACCAAAGATTTTCACCAAACAATAGTTTCTAGCTTGTATGTCATCTTCTGTTGTGTCCTGATTATTCTGTAACGAATCAGAATCATCCACTGAGTAGTCTTCATCAGATTCAGATTGTCGAATTTTCATCTTCTATCAGACGTTTTGTCTGTAAAAGTAAACGGGATTAGCGAGGCCGGGTCCGGTCTCCATAAACGCGGGGTACAGATACAAAGGCCTCCGCAATTTGCATAGGCAGCGCGGAGCGCTTGAGATCCCGTTCGCCGGTTGATATTCGGCCTTCATCTTCACGCGTCCCAGTTTCGGACTCGGACGCTAGTGATTCTGCTTCTTTAGCAGGCACGTTTAGTGGGTCAGACGCGGAGCGTCTTGCGACCCCAGAATTATCACCTCGGATTTCAATTACGCGACCTGCAGTTAACCTTGAGAAGAAATGCGTGGAGGTCATGTCAAATTTTTTGATAGATAAGCCGGCGTGCGCTGCGCCTATGCAGCAAGAAGTTGCGGACGTTTTATTCGCATTAACTAGAAATGGGCTTCCGGAGGAGGTTCGTAAGCAGTATCTGCTTAAATATGTCAGGCCTTCAAATTGTGAATTAAACCCACCTGTTCTGAATCCCGAGGTGAAATTTAATTTATCTAAGAGCGTGATTGACAGGGATGACAGGTTGGTCTTGGGACAAGACCAATTACGAGCAGGGCTTGCTGCATTAGGTAAAGTGCTCACGATTATGTCTTCGGGGGAAATTAACTCACAGTTCGACAATATTTTTGAGCTTGTTTCCGATGCCTGTAAATTGGTGGCGGATATTTTCTTTCGAGAAAGTATATAAGAAGAGCACTTATTTTACAGAAGTTGAATCCTTCGGTGACCGAAGCTGTCAAAAATTCTCCCATATCTGGGTTACTATTTGGCGAGAATTTATGGGAGCAAATTAGAAATATTCAAGCGTTAGAAAAGATTGGGAAGGATCTTGTGGCATCTAAACAGAATTCACGGCAGAATTCTAAACCTTTAAACTCAAATCGCCCCTCTCGAGCTCCTCTTCACAATCGGAATTTTACAGTGTCTTCGAAGAGAGGAGGGGGGCGCACCACCTCTGTCACACGCAGTCGTTACTTAGTCCAGAAGGAGAACCAGAGGGACAGACGACAACCCAACGGCAAACATTATCGCCGGAGGCACACTTATTAGATGTAAGTTTTATAGCTGGTCGACTAAAGTACTTTGAAAAACAATGGGCAGGTATCACCAAAAATAAGAGAATTTTAACTTGGATTAAAGGTTATAAAATTTCTTTTTCAAGTAAAGTACGACAAGGGAAAATTCCTCTTGAAAAGGTCTGGTCTATTACTGAGAAGTTCGAGTTGTCTAATCAGATTAATACCTTGCGGAGCAAGGGAGTTGTAAAAAGATGTAGGAATACACCTGGCCAGTTTATTTAAAGTATTTTTTGGTACCTAAACCTGATGGTTCTAGTAGATTAATTTTGAATTTAAAACAACTGAATAAATTTATAAGATTGGATCACTTTAAGCTAGAGGACATTAAATTAGCTAGTAGTCTTTTAACACCCAATTGTTTTATGGCCAAACTGGACCTTAAATACGCGTATTATCTGGTACCGATTCACAGAGCTAACAGAAAGTACTTGAGATTTAAATTTAATAATACACTTTATGAATTTACTTGCCTGCCGTTCGGCTTAAGTTGTGCACCCGTTTTGTTTACTAAACTTTTAAAACCAATTGTCAGTTGTCTTAGAACAATAGGCATATTACTGGTACTGTATTTGGACGATTTTTTAATTTTTGGAGATTCCTTTGCTCAATGTGAAGAGCATGTTAAAGTAACTTCTAATCTTCTACAATCTTTAGGATTTATTTTAAACAAAGAAAAGAGTATAACGATTCCCAGTCGTGTTTGTAAATTTTTGGGTTTTAATTTAAACTCTACGTGCAAGACATTAGAGCCAGAGGAGAAGAGACTGGCAATTAAGAATTTGCTTAGTATCTTTAGTAAAAAGAAATCTTGTTCTGGTCTAGATTTTGCTAAATTTATAGGTTCTTTGGTTTCTGTGTGCCCAGCCATAAAATATGGATGGCTATATACAAAACTTTTTGAAAGAGTTAAATTCTATGCATTAAAACAAAACAATCAGAATTATAAATGCCGCATGATTTTGCCCAACTCGCTAAGAGGCGACTTTAATTGGTGGAAAGATCACATAGGGATTTCTGTTAATCCTATAATTAAGAACGACTATTTTATTGAAATTTTCAGTGATGCGTCTTTAACCGGTTGGGGTGCAGTTTATGGTAACAAACGAGCTAGAGGTTTTTGGAAAAGAGAAGAATGCATTTTTCACATAAATTATTTGGAATTACTAGCTTCATTTTTTGCGTTAAAATGTTTTGCAAATGATTTAATGGATTGTAGTTTGCTGTTAAGGTTGGACAA